CACAACAACCATCTGCAGGTCATGATTGCCTAAAGAATCCTGCAGAAGAGACTGTAAGATCTTTGGGGAAGGGTTTTGCCTCCTCACATTCTTTGAAGCAGTATTGGAGAACATTTGGCCTGCAAGAGCTTTTGGATGAGAACACTCGCATCCTGTACTGTAGGCAGTTGTTGGATGCACTTCTGGGAGTTGTAGCCCAAAACATAGGTATGGTCAAAAGTTTCTCATGTTGTCTGCAAAGCACCATGCATGCTGGTGGCATTTGCGTCTATTTTTATATATATAAAACAAGAGAGTTTACATCTTTGTTTTCAACTCTCATCTCAGTTAAATAATCTTGATTTCTGCTCCCCTTGCAGCATTTGTCGACGTGGGATATTTAACTGCACCTACCATCCTTGTCCTGCTGTGTGTACTGTCTATGGCGATCGTCATTATTATACTTTTGATGGCCTGGAGTATGATTATGTCAGTGACTGCCAGGTTTATTTAGTAAAGGTAAGGAGACTTGTTTTTACTTATTGGCATTTCTTATGTGTAGGTCATTGTGCTGGTTATGACTTCTGCTCCCAAAATGGGAAAAGAGTGGCTTGGGATGCAGGGTTGCTACACATTTCAGGGTGAATGTAGTGAGGTGATAAGAAATTACAGTATTCCATGACCAAACTAGCCTATTCTTTCCTTGTAACAGGTTAAAGAGAAGAAAGTGAAAAAGAGACAGAGAAATGCAGTGTCATTCTTTTTCACTCCTTCAGTATGTTTGTTGAAAGAAGGGGCAGAGGTTGTGTGATGTTGTTGTTAGTATGTCAGAATAGTACTGTACTTTGGAGATCCAGATTCTAGACTTCATTGAGCCGTGAAAACTTATCAGGTGACTCTGGGCCAATCACTCTTTTTCAGCCTGAGCTGCTGAGAGAATGTTGTGTTGGGAAGAGTTTATTGGTGAAAAAGTAGAGTATAAATTTTCCTCCTCTATCGATCAATCAATTTTATTGGTGAAAAAGTAGAGTATAAATTTCCCCCCTCTATCGATCAATCAATGGTTGGTTGGTTGGAATGAAGGAAAGAAGGAAAGAAGGACCAATCGGTCGGTCGGTCGGTTGGTCGGTCGGTCAGTCGGACGGACGGACGGACGGATGGACGGACCAGTTGGGTCACAGTGGCTGCATTGGCTTATCACAGAATAACTGACTGTGTAATGGGGCAAAATAGTATTTGGTGTCTGCGAAACCTACTTGTGAAATTCCCTGCTGCTTTTCTTTTTCCTCTTGGGTGTGCTGAACTGACCAGTTCTTCCTTGGCATGGGATTACCATTGCCATCAGTTCAACAGGATCTATATCAAGCCCAACCCTTAAGATTTTGATTGTTTGGGTACTAAAGATCAAAAGCTCTCTCATTGTCAGTGTTACCTTTGCCAAAAAAGATTTGGACTGAAATTCTGTTGCTTAGTATGGTAACTTGCAGCTATAGTACACCCATTGAAACCAGTGGGGATATGGTGAGTCAACTTCTCCATAAGTTCTTTTGATTCAAATGGGCATAGTCTGGTTGTGAGTTACTAATCTGAAGTAAGTTGCAGCTAGAATAGGCCCATTTGAGTTAGTGGAACATACAGAGGACTTCCCTCACCAAATCCACCATTTGGGCCCACCAATGGGCCCAAATGGATCCAAATGGCAAGGATGTCCACTATCTTGAAACCCTGTTGAGCTCATGTCAGCTGGGTAGGTGATACAGTGATTTTTTTCTTCCCTTCTGCACTTCTCAAAAAGCAAGGTGTTTTTTTAAAAAAAGAACTAGTAGACAAAACCTCTCAAATCAATGAGAGAAATTGACTTAGACTGGTGCTAGGACTAGTTTAAATGTTCATCAGTATCGGGAGCTGGGAGTCCTGCAGTTCTGGCCAATACATGTCTATTCTGTCTATCAGTTGACTTTCTGATCTTATAGAGAGAGCTGTCTTGTGAGCAGTCCAGGACCTCCACCGGATTTCCACCGGAGGTCCAGGACCTCCACCGGATCTTATAGAGAGAGCTGTCTTGGAAGCCTCTCATGGTGCCTTGCAAGGGCCAGAAATGGAACTCCAGGAGTGTATCTCCCCCTGCAAAGTCAGAGCTTTATCTAAGAATCCGAAACTGAATTTTTCATCAGTCCTGTGGCCCATGGGTCACCTACCTACCTACCCCAGATCTGCAGGTTTACAGCAGGACCTCCACCGGATCTTATAGAGAGAGCTGTCTTGGAAGCCTCTCATGGTGCCTTGCAAGGGCCAGAAATGGAACTCCAGGAGTGTATCTCCCCCTGCAAAGTCAGAGCTTTATCTAAGAATCCGAAACTGAATTTTTCATCAGTCCTGTGGCCCATGGGTCACCTACCTACCTACCCCAGATCTGCAGGTTTACAGCATTTGGCTGCTGAATTTTTCATCAGTCCTGTGGCCCATGGTTTACAGCTTTTGGCTGCAGCTACAATAGAAATGTAAAATGGGCTGCCTCTGTCATTCTCATAGGAGAGGAGGAAGAACTATAATGTCCTTTTTCTTGTAAGCAAGGACAGTAAAGAATTTCCTGCCATTCTTGATTGAGTTATCACATTGTTGAAAAGGATGTTTTGAACAGAAATACAATTTTTAGGGCCAAAATTGTCCAATTTGCACCATTGTATGAATGGCATGAATTGCTCAAAACTAAAATAATTGCTGCTTTGATTAAGAATAAAAATGGGTATGAAGCTGTGAATGGCCCAGGGAGCTGGTGCATCCTTCGGCCAAACAGGTATGAAGCTGTGAATGGCCCAGGGAGCTGGCTCATCCTTCGGCCAAACAGGTATTCAGTGCTTCCTAGTCCCATGTCCTCTGGCAGGTGCCTACTCAGGGGCAGTGCCTAGAGGAGGTTGGACAGGGAAGCCTGGGCGCTGCCTATGAGTGGCCGCCTGCCACTCATAGGCAGTGTTGCCAGTGCCTAGAGGAGGTGGGACAGGGAAGCCTATGAGCGGTTGCCTGCTGGAAGTGGCAGTGTTGGGAAATGCCAAACATCTGTCCAGTTGAAGAACGAACTGGCATGAACTGCCAGTTTGGCAGTTAGTGCCCATCTCTGATTAAGAATTTTAAAAATTGGATGGGTTCTTTGTGTCTTAATGACCATGCAGTCTCTCTGTGCTTGGGAATGCGTGTATACATGCACTTTGATTCTCAGAATGAAGAGACAATACAAAAACGCCAGATATCCTAGGGGGCAGAGGAGGGGAAAGCTCTCTGTTTTGCTCTCCAGAGATCCTGGCGTTTCGATTGCCATTTCTCTAGGAATGCAGATAATTCTCTCATAGACAGTTTGAAACCTGAAAGAGGTATATCTGCCACAGATCCTTGGACATATGACCTAAGCAGAGAACTAAACAGGTCCTGTAGTATGTATATGTCCCTTGTGTGTTTCCAGGATGAGAACAGAAAGCAAATAAACAGCTTCCCATACTGGGCCAAATATATGCATAGCAAACTCCTGTCATCTGCCAGTGTCATTTATGAGCATTTGGAGTTCTAAAGTTCAGGAGAGAAGTTGGCATTCACAAAAACAAGATAACTGGCACATTGCCTCGGAGCCCTTTCATCCGACAAGCAAGTTGACACGAGTGATGAAAACATTGCCTGTGTAGATTCCTGATATTAGAACTAGTCTCAGTAAACTTTTTGACAGGTGCGATGCAAGTTCAGACTTCTCCCCACTGCAAAACAAGAATGATCTGCTATTTTATAATAGCTAATTTGTTCTTAGTATTTGGACTGTGTGGGGCTGTTGAAGGATTTTTTCTGGCCTTACAAAAAGATACTTAGTCTAAAGTATTCTCAGATGATGTTGTGGTGCTCTTTTCCAGGAGAGTTCTCTGTGGATCAGGGAAGGCAAATCTCAGACAAAGGAAAGTGGCAAGACTATGTGCTTGCATCCTATATGATCAATAAGGAAATCACAGACCTAATGGAAAATACACATTGCCTCATTGACTTACTACATAGGTTTATTGATTCATAGCAAACATGGCAGGCCTCCACTCCATCTTATCTTCCAAACAAACCTGCAAAGCAAGTCAGGCTAAGAAGCTGCGGTTGGCCCAGGGAACTTGATGGTGGAGTGCAGATTTGAATGCTGCTGTCTTGCATCCTATTCATACTTTTTAACAGTCCAAAAAGTCAAGGATTCAGCTGCACATTTGTCCATGAAGGTGGACCAGTCGTTGTATCAACAATGCCCAATTAGGAAGTCTCCCCAATAAACCTGAGGATTCTAAACCAATTTTTCTCTCAAGGAAATTCTTTCTAGGAATCCCAGGGTCTCTATTTAAGTGAACTTGCCATCACCTTCCTGTAGGAGCACTCAGCATTTATTACATGTTATGGCTAGGATGAAGGCCCAGCAATCTACAGTCAAAGGGATGGGATGGATGAAAGAAAAAGAGAAGTATGGGATATGTGTATGTTTTTGTATGCATGGGTGTGTGACCTCTGGCTGCCCTGTGCAACCTACAACCCAAAGCATGTTGCCCACTTCAGTGTATGCCTTGGACAAGGAACAAAATAAAGACATGGGCCAGAATCCTGTGGCTTATGCAATCCCATAAGGCCAATTATTCAGATGATGGTGCCAGAAAGCCAGTAAGACAATAGCCAGTAAGAAGCCACCATTTCTGAACTGGCAGTTTGTTTTGTTTCATTTATTTGCCAACCCTTGTTTTAGAGCAAAGGATGGATGTAAGGCAGGGACTTACTTTTAGCTTTTTCCTTGGGTGGAAAACTGTTGATTGTGTTGATTCAAAAGTCTGCTTGCACTATGACATTTACAGGAGAAGATAGGACAGGCTTTATAGCCCTTAAGACCCAATCATCAACCACACCTCATTAGGAATAGGGGAAAATTTATTGGAGATTATGAAAGAGGGGACTCACAGTGATCACAGCATCATTTCATTGTCTTTACACTGGTCAGGTCCAGATGTTCTGTGTAAGGCAGTGTTTCCCAACATTTTTAAGCCACACCCCCTTTTTATAATATCTAAGTAAACTGTGACCCCACACCACAGTTGCATTAAAATGCATTTTAATCGGGTAACATTTACATAGATATTTCAGAATATAATTCTAACCTAATATTTAATGTGAAGGTTGTATTTGCATGTGGGCAATAAATAAGTGTTGAAAAGCTTCCCCTGTAAAAATAATTGCAACCTTGGTGACCCCCCTGAAAACTGTTTGTGATCCTCTTGGTGGTCACAACCCCAGGTTGGGAAACTATGGTCTAAGGCAGTGGTTCTTAACCTTGGGTTACCCAGGTGTTTTTGAACTGCAACTCCCAGAAACCCCAGCCAGCACAGCTGGGGGTGAAGGCTTCTGGGAGTTGCAGTCCAAAAACACCTGAGTAACCCAAGGTTAGAACCACTGGTCTAAGGCAGGGGTCCTCAGACTTTTTAAACAGGGGGCCAGTTCATTATCCCTCAGACTGTTGGTGG